GTGGTTTAGGAAATGTTCTATGGCAGAAAGCAAGGCTGTATATGTAAAAGGCTTGGGGAGTAGTGCCTTGCTGTCATATGCATGCCTGTGTTCAGATGCTTTGGTGGTAGTTGTTTTTAGACCAGCTGGTCTTGGACTCATAATCTTCCAGTCTCTGACTCATAATCTTCCAGTCTCCCCACCTCCTGAGTTCATGGGCCATCACACTTGGTGGAAAACCATGAGCTTTTTGGTTTTGTTTCAACTGAACTCACTACATAGCTAGCTCTGGCTGGCCTGAGTTTTAGCCCCAGAGGGCCAGGCCTTCCTTTGATTGTAGTCTTTCTGTCAGGTTAGAGGTGATAGGGCAGGCCATGCTTTTTTTTTTTTTTTTTTTTTCTTTTTCTTTTTCTTGTTATTGGGGTTGGAATTCAGCCTTCTGAATCCTGGGTATGTGCTGTACCCATGAGCTATATCCTCAGCCAAGGGTGCATTTATTTTTATTTCTGTCACGTATTTACATGTTACTTGTCAGATGTGGTTTGTGGACACAGAACTCTTATTGTCAGAGCCCCTGAGCTGCTTACTAAAAGGAGTTGTGAGCCACTTGATGGGGGGTGTTGGGAACCTAACTCAGATTTTGTTTCTTTTTTATTTTTTAAGTAAGATTTATTTATTTATTCATTCATCATATATACAGTGTTCTGTCTGCATGTACGCCTGCATCCTAAAAAAGGGCACCAGATCTCATTATAGATGGTTGTGAGCCACCATGTGGTTGCTGGGAATTGAATTCAGGACCTTTAGGAAGAGCAGCCAGTGCTCTTAACCTCTGGGCTCTCTCTCCAGCTCCTAAATCAGACTTTCTAGAGGAGCATTGTTTGTTTTTAACCACTCTCCAGCCACAGGGGAAATGTTCTTCTGAGTTATAATAGAATTTTGAAAGTAGACTTGGGCCTTCCTGCAGAGTTGGGGTTAGGCTGTTGCCATGCCCGCTTTCCTTCGGTGTATTTGATTGGCTGTGTACAGTGTGAGCAATGGAGGATGTTTCAAGATGGTGGCTTACAGTCCTCTGGATGTCAAGGGGAGATATTGTTATTTAGTAGTGAGGCCTCCAACCCTTTAGCCAGAGTTTGGCTCATTGCATAGTGGCCAGCTGGTGTTCTGGGTCTGTGGTTTGGATTTGGTCACTGGTGCTTAGGCAATGAGCAGTAGGAAAAGAACTGGTTGGCAGGCAGGTTTGGGTTCTAATCCCAGCTCTTTTTTGTGGTTGGTTGGTTGTTTTTGAGACACATTCTTATACAAGATGTCTGGCTGGACTTGACAGTCTACTGAATGCTAAGCTTTAGGCATGAGGCATTACTCCTAGCTTTAAGCTCTGTCTTAAATTTAATGTGGAATTTGAGGAAACTCTCATGTAAGGCTTCTCCCATCGGGATGAGTTAACTTCAAAATGAACATTGAACAGCTGAAAATGGTGGTCCATTCTTCTACTACTTTTAGAGCTTGAAAATGTCTCTAAAAATGGCTCTCCATCCCTTTTTTCCCCTGCCCACTTTCTGTTTTGAGTCATTCTCTCACACTGTATCCCAGTCTGATCTAGCACTCAAGGCAATCCTCCTCTCTCAGCTTCTCAAGTGTAGGTACTTGTCATCCTGTCTGACCACTGGTTTTTTTGGGGGCGAGTGAGTCGGGTTTGGTTTTTTTCAAGACAGGGTTTCTCTGTGTAGCCCTGGCCGTCCTGGAACTCACTCTGTAGACCAGGCTGGCTACACCACCATTGCCTAGCTTCCCTGTTTTCTTTTTAATGTAACTGGATTCCTTTGTTAACAGCATAGTCCTGGGTGGCTTGCCAACACCTAAGTGTTTAAGATTGAAGGAAAGGGCTGGAGAGATGGCTTAGCACTTAAGAACACTGGCCGCTTTTCTACGAGACCTGGGTTTGATTCCTAGTATCCACATGGTGGCTCACAAGTGTTTGTAGTTTCAGGGTATCCAATGCCCTCTTCTGCTCTCTGTGGATACCAGACACACACGTAGTACATAGATGTACATACAAACACCACACACATAAATTGAATTAAAAATATTACAGGAGAGGTTGGTCTTGATGCTGTCCTCCCTCAGCTTTACCCGTAGTTAGCCAGAGATGCATTGTACCAGGCCGCTTGAGAAGGCTTTATTTACCTTTTTATTTGATATGTGTGTGTCTGTATACCCCCCCCCCCCATCTTGCTCACCACCTCACCTTTTGAGATAAGGCTTTGTACTGAACCTAAAATGTTGATTTGCCTGTAGTAGCTGGCTAGCAAGTGCCAAGGACCCTTCGGGCTCCACCTTCTGTGTGCTGGCATTATAGGCTGCTGGGGTTGGTCTTTTTCACATTATGCTGGGGTCCTTAATTGCGCCCTCTTCCTAGCCCTTGAGAAGTCTTCAGAATCTGGACATTGTGTCACTGCTTGTCCATAATCCCAACATTGATAAGGCTGAAGTGAGAGAATCATGAGTTTGAGGCCAACCTCAGCTATCTGGTAACTTTAAGGCCTTCTTGGGCTACAGAGTAAAATCCAAACAACAACAAACAAACAAGAAAACCCAACTCAACCCCACAAAAATAAAATACACACAACAGCAACAACAAAGAAACAGAAGGAGGGCTGGAGAGGAGAGATGCCGTGGTGGTTAAGGCACTGGCTACTCTCTCTCACTTTGTTTGTTTGTTTTTGGAGACAGGGTTTCTCTGTGTAACCTTGGCTGTCCTGGACTCACTTTGTAGAGCAGGCTAACCTAAAACTCACAGAGATCTGCATGCCTCTGCCTTCCCATGAGTACTGGGATTAAAGGTGTGTGCTTACTAAGGACCCCACTCCCACGTGGTGGCTCACAACCATCTGTAACTCCAGTTCCAGGGGACCTGAGGTCCTTTTCTGACCACTGCACACATACAGGATACACAGACAGATATGCTGGCAAAACACCCATATACATAAAATAGAAATAAAGGCAAATAATTAAAAATAAATTAATCTTAAAAACCCATAGAAACAGAAGCATCTGCTTAGCATTTTGTAGCAGTGTCTGCTGTTGCTCTTTGGTTAGTTATTACCCTCACGATAGGCAGGGAAAGACGGGAGCCTAAACTTTTGCTATCACAACCCCTAAAAAAGTCATCACTGAGCCACCTGTGTAGAGACTAGTTATGATTCTTCTCCTTTATGGTAGCCTAAATTAACTGCTGCTCTCCTACTTGGCCCAGCCTGCCTGTGTGTTCTGCTAGGTTCCTAGCCAGTTGCCTTCTGTGCTGGTAACACTTTTGTTTTATAATGGCCAGGACTAAAGGTGCAGGATAGCTGCCAGTTGCCTTCAGTGGTGGTTCTCAGGTTTATGTCATCAGAACCACTGAAGGACTTGCTAAACCCCACTCACTCCTGGCCTCCACGGATTCTCAATCCATGTCTCCCGAGATGGCAGGCTGGTGAAGTGCACTTCTTAGGAGTTTCTGTCCTGCTGGTATGGCAGCTTTGGGCACTGGGCTGTGTGCTGTGTGAGGATGAAGTTGAGGCATGTTCTCTCATCTGGAAGAGCCCTTCATTGACTCACTGCCTTTCCCCCAATAGCTGTCAGTGCGAATTTCTGCAGGTGGCAGATGAGGATTCAGAAGGCCAGAGCAGGGGGACTGGCCAGTAGCTGGGAAGCTAGGAAGCCTATACTGAACTGTTCTGTGGTTGGTCGTGGGAGCTGGCTGCCTGAGGCTCACTGGGTGGTACCTTTTAGGTAGGAAGGTCTTCTGTTACAGTGTGGAGATGGGTGTATGGTCTATGCTTGTAATCCCAGCACTCAGGTTGAAGCGCTAGCTGTGAGAGCAAGCCATCTCTTCTTACACAGTGTGCACTAGCTACATGGAGTTACGTGATGAGACCCCGTCTCAAAAACAAAACAAAACAGCTGTGAGTAAGAGCAGCAGCTATTTTCAACTACATAATCTAAAAATTGTTACAGGTGTCAGTGGGTAAGTAGTGGGTTACTCAGAGCTGGTGGGGATTTGATTGATTGAGAGGTAGGCTTGGAAAATAATTGAGGTCCATATCACCATCTTTTTCTTCTACCTCTTAGGGGTTTTATTTGTTGGGAAATGGGTGCTGACACCTGAACCATGTGAATCATTGATGATTTATTATGTGATTGCTAGCAGTTCAGTGGATAAGAGTGATTGTGTTCTTATTCTAAATCCCCAAGAGATGAGGGGGGGCAGGACATGGATTGCTTCTAAGATGTAAAAATTAGAAAACTTTTGGTTTTGATGCAGCTGATAAGGATTTTTGTAGTTGGATGTAAGAGGATGGGTAATACTCCTCTTACCCATTGGGAAGGTAAGATTTGAGGGGTTGGGGTGTAGCTCAGTGGTAGAGCATGGCTTTTGCATGTACAAGGCCAGTCTTAACCATCACTAAATCCACAACAGCCCTCCCCCCATTATATGGGTTTCTAATTTTAATTTTTTTCACTGGCAGCATTTAGTATTTTGACCAAGATAGATTTTAAGGTTCGCACAACCTCTAAAAAACATGATTACTGCCCTTCAAGACAGAAAATAAAAATTAAAGAATAAATTGTAAATGTTATCAAAGAATTAGTAAGTCTTCATTTTTCTCAATTCTTAATACTTTTTTTTTCACTGTTTTTTTTTTTTTTGGTTCAAATTCAGTGCACATAATTCTTATTTTAGTGAAACAGCATAAAAAAATTTAAAGTGAATTTTGAATTGTATAGATGAAAAGCAAACCAATCTTGACCAATAAATGAAGGAAGCCAAATTTGCCTTGTGTGTGCTAGGAAGTGAACTTAGGGTCATGTGCATGCTAAATACATGCTTTACCACTGTGCCTAATCCACCTGCAGTGTGATTCTTAAACTTTTTTTTAAACACACATTGTGTTTGGAGCTCCTTTGTCTGTATTCTTTAAAAGTTGCTGCTTTCATGATACAGCAAGTTAAAATCATGATATCTTCTTGAATTTTAGGTACTTACACTGTGAAATTTTATGATGGAGTAGTTCAAACTGTCAAACATATTCATGTCAAAGCTTTTTCCAAAGATCAGGTGAGAAATGTGGTTTTGTGCTTTGTGTTCTGAACTATGCTAACACTGTACTTTTGTTTTCTCAAATAAAGACATTACATGTGTTTCTGATGACAAGTCTTTATTTCCTCCATCTGGTAGTTTCACCAGAGAGTAAGAACACAAGTTTTCAGAAGTTGTAAATATTTGTGTACCTTGTTCTTTTAAAACAGATTCTCCTCTTTCGCAGTGCTGAGTACAGTCCCACTATTTGTTTCTGTTTTCCTCATCCTTTTTCAAGTGTCTTGACTGCTGTCTCTTTTCTCTGCTTCCTGCACCCTCACCCAACACAGGGAGCTTATTGAGGACCTGAGGACTTGAGCTCACCTTCTTCTTGTCTAGCTGTGTTTTGACATGACTTAGGGCTGTGCCATGGTAGCTTACAGCTTGCCCCTGCCGTGCGCTTGGCAGCCATGTCAGCTAGACGGACCTAGTTTGAAATGGAGTGTCATGAGGACCCATTCGCCCTGCCTGAGCATAGAGCCAGGAGATCTGCTCCTGGAAGGACAGCCCCAGAGCTTTGAGCCTTCTAGAAATACTTTCTTTATGAGTTCTTCCCCCTTCATCTCTTTCCTTCTCATGTTTTAATCACAACAAGGTTTGTATATTAGTGTCTTGGGGGCTGTTTTAAATTCTGATAGTTACTGACGATATAGCTAAAGTAGATTAGCCAAAGGTTTTAGTCCTGAGACCCCCTCAATGCTCCCTCCCCTTAGGGCGGAAGTTGACAAGACTGGCCATGCTGTGTGTGACCTGTTGGGTTTTTCCTATGAATATCAAGTGCTTCTACTTGATACTGATTTCCCCAGATTCTGCATAAGCAGAGGGCAGGAGACCTTTCAAGGCGCCTCACAGACCTTTTTTGCCTTTGCCGGTTTTCCCCTAGACAGCACTGAGAAAACGCTGAAGCTTTGCTAAGATGATTGATGCTTGCTTGCATTTTGCCTGCTTCTTGGGCATTTAAGAAGCCACACCTGCCCTTAATGTGTTATTTTGGCTGTAAATTTGGCATTTTTGTTAAATTTTGTGGAATGAACTGATACAAATGAAAGAACAGAAATATGAGCTTGCCTGGAATTGGTAGATAGGATAGATCCTGAGGCTTCTCAGCTCCTGATAACAGAAGTTCAACTTAAAAAAAAAATTGTATTTTGGGACAGTCTCACTGTGGCCTACACTTTTCTCTAATTTATAGTTACTTCCTCCTTCACCTCCTCAATGCTGGGAATACAGCTGTGAGCCATGAATCCCATAGGGTTTAACTGTTTACTCAGTAAATTGAACGTGGCCTGGAGGTAGAGCCCTACCAAGGAAAGATTTATGGCTGATTACTTTCTCAGTTCCCAGCTGCCTCTGAGTGTCTCACCTTACCTCTGTCCCAGCAGGCCACCAAGACAGACCCTTAGCGCCAACATTTTTTGAGTTTATAAAAAGAATGTTTGTTTGTCGTAGAAAATCTGGAAAGTACTCAGAAGCAAAAGGAAAGCAAAACTGGCCCATTCAAAAAAAGGGCTTCTGCTTATTTGTATCTTATACTTTGTGTCTGTCTTGCTGGTTTCTTTGTTGTTGTTGTTATGAACATGTGTGTGTCATTTCCAAAATCGAGTTAAGTGCATGTTATTGTCTATAGACTGTTCTTTTTCTTAACAATTTAACATTCCCCAAAGTTCCTTTGTCCTTTAAAGTTGCAACTTTTTGGTAGCTCTGCAGTGTTCTGTAGTATGCGTGTACCAAGTGTGCCTCAGTGTATTTTTATCCAGCTGTGATGTCTGATTATTCTATTATCAAATTCCATTTCTGGGAATTCAGTTCGGTTCAGAAGTAGGAACTTTCAAGCCTTTTGATCTGAACTGACATCACCCCCTTCCGGAGGGTGATACTGCATACTTCTGCTAATTGTTCTTCTCATTGCTGATTGTTCTCAGTGTGGCTCTTTTCAGAATCATATTGGGACTAAGGAAAAAAAATTCTCACTGTTTATAATTTTTCCTTACGGAACAAATTTTTCTTTGGCTGCTGATCATTTAAACATTCCTTTCCTGCTTCTGGAAAAATCAGTGTGCCTAGAATGTGTGAGCTAGGGATCCCGTGCGAAAATATTATGGAGATAGGTTTCTGCTCTTTTCTTGAGATCTTAGAAGAGTGTTTCCTATGTAAATAAATTTAATTGTAGTCTTAAAAAATCTAACTTTCAGAGTTGACTGTATTAAGAGACAGCCACACTAGGACAAAAGATTTTCCGATAAATTTTAAAGTCATCTAGTCACAAATTAGAAGCAAGAGTGCTTTTTCAGTGGAGAAAACATCCAACAGCTCAGGACCTCAGGAGGTAGTTCGCCGGAGTGAGCACAGCCATCAGCAGGAGAGGATGCTGACATTGTTGGTCTGGCTTAGGCATTCTGAACAGGGTTCTGTTAAGCCTCTAGTTACCAGTTTGGTTTTCTTCTACATAAAACTGGGCATCAGTGTGCACTGGACCTCTGAAAAGCCCTGGATAAGAAAGTTGGCTCGCTTGTGTCAGAAACACTGCTTTCAGTCCAGGGTTCTGCTAGTTGGTGTCCTTTTAACTGGTCATGTGGCTCCTCCTACAGTAAGGGAGATTGCAGAGTCTTGGGAGGATTGAGACGGGCAATTGTGTGTAAACTCGGGGCTGCTTCTCAAAGCTCAGACACTTTCCTGGTGCAGTGCATCGTGTAACCGGCCTCTGTCCTCTTAGTGTCTTCATTGTCTTCATAAGTGTGCAAGCAAACTCCTGATTTTGTGTTTGCAAGTAATCACAAAGTGTTTCATCGCTATTTTGCTCATTTTAGAATATTGTGGGTAATGCTAGGCCTAAAGAGACAGATCACAAAAGTCTTTCATCATCTCCCGAGAAGCGAGAGAAGTTTAAAGAACAGAGAAAAGCCACAGTCTACGTGAAAAAAGACAAAGCAGAAAAGGCCTTAAAGACAGAAAAGCGTCCCAAACAGCCTGACAAAGAAGGAAAGCTGATCTGCTCAGAGAAGGGCAAAGTGTCAGAGAAAAGCCTTCCCAAGAACGAGAAGGAAGATAAGGAGAACATTTCAGAGAACGACAGGGAGTACTCCGGGGATGGCCAGGTGGAGAAGAAGCCTGAAAATGACCTTGTGAAGAGCCCACAAGAGAGCCTGAAGGAGCCAAAAAGAAAACGAGGCAGACCCCCTTCCATAGCTCCTACTGGTGAGTTTCCCAAGCGGGCTCTGCAATGGGTGATGCCAGTGTTCTTCCGTGGCCTTTTTGGTTCTTTATACCTTCTGTACTTCAGTCCTTCGTGTTTGTGACTTGCTTATGACCTGAAAACCAATCGTGCCTGTGGATCTGAATTTGGTGAGGTGTGTCCAGGTGGCCATGTTGGGAGTGTGGCCATGACTGAGCTGGGGTGGAAACCTCATCTTCCATGAAAGAGCCACATACCCTCAGTCTGAGGAAATAACATCCTAATGGGCAGACAGAGGAGAAGACGGAGAGCTGAGGGGCAGAGGCTGGAGGTGCTGATAGGGCACACCGAGCCTGTTTGAGGCCGTGGGCTCAGGCCCTAGCACCAAAGACACACCCATAAACATGAACCTCTGAGGAAGGCAGAGCTAGGGAGCAAAAAGCAGACATCATAGCTCACACCTGTGACACTAACACTCGGGAAGCAGAAGCAGGATCATTAGTTCAAGAGTAGCCTGGGCTTCATGGTGAGACCCTGCCTCAAAACGACATTGAGCTTTTAAAAGATGTTTATTGATGGGGAAATTCCAGTCTAAATAATAAGACAATTTTGGTTAATTAAGCTAGTAAGAGTTAAGGGTCCAGTGTAAATTTAGGGAATAATACCCAATTATTTAAAGGAAATGTAAACTCTGAAGTGGGGGATGGAAATGAGTTCAAGGCTAGCTTGGACTACATAGTAAGTTCCATGTCAGCCTGTGTTAGAATAAAACATTGCCTCAAAAAGCCAACCCCCCCCCCCAAAAAAAAAAAAAAAAAAAAGAAAAGAAAAGAAAGAAAGTTTAAGCTTGGAATTCTTTTAAAATAACCAAGGATGAAACAAGTTTTGATATTTTTATTTTGTTTATTTTGTTTTTTTGGCTAAGCCAAACACTCATTCTTCAGATGATTTGGTAGCTCTGGATAGAACCTGCCCAAGACTGAATGCTTTTGTGGTCTTTAGACTTTCTTCTTTGCATATTCTCTGCATGAACATTAAAAAACTGTGAACCTCTTCCCATTTTCAAGCAACATCTATAATTTGGTTTGGGTATCTTTTTTTGTTATTGTTGTTGCTTGTAATTGGTCTGGGAGCTGATCCCATAGTCTTGCCACGATAAGTGTGTGCTTACCACTGAGCTACATCAGCCCACAATATCTTTTATTTTCATTCAAGTTTTTGTTTGTTTGTTTTTGGTGTTTTGAGATAGGGTTTTTCTGTGTAGCTCTCGCTGTCTTAGACTCCCTTTGTAGACCACGCTGGCTTCAAACTCACAGCGATCCACCTGCCTCTGTCTTCCAGGGTGCTGATATTACAGGCATACGCCACTACACCCAGCTTTTTTCATACAAGTTTAAAAAGTCTCAGTAGATAATTTAAAATGTAAAATTTGACATAAAATATATTTTGTCAAAACTAGAATAACAGCCCATTCATTGATTTCTAGTTGAAAACATCTACATTAAGTGACTTCATTCAGACAAATGGATAAAGTAGTTCTCATGAGTATGCTTCTCAAATCTGAGATCGGTTTTATAGGAAACCAAGTAATAGCCTTACTTGTCTTCAGGTGAAATAGGTGCCTCCTCTCTTAAAAACCAAACCAAACCAAAGCAAACAAACAAAAAACTGAAAAACCACCACCAACAAAAAAGGCTAAGTAACGTGCTTGTTGCCTGATAACCTGAGTTTGGCTGTCCAGAACCCCCATAAGGGCCAGACACTGTAGTGCTTGTGCTTGTCTGCAGTCCTAATTGCCCATCCCAGGGTGTGGAATCAGAAACAGGAGGTCCACTGGAGGCTTGTGTGCCAGCTTGTCATAGACAAAGGATGGTAAGGGAGACCCTGTCTCAAGGTGTAAGGCAAGGACCAACTCCCTGGATTGTCTCCTGACCTCTGGAGACACTTGCTCTGCGATATGCAGGCACCTGCATTCACTCATTCACTGACCCATATTACACACACACACACACACACACACACACACACACACAGAAGAAGTGTCCCTCATCTTCTTGGTTTTTTGAGACAGGATTTCTCTGCGTAGCCCTGGCTGTCCTGGAACCAGACAGGACAGCTAAGTAGACCAGGTTGCCCTCAACCTGCCTCGAGTGCTGGATTAAAGATGTGCACCACCACTACCAGCTCTCCTTTTTTCTTTTTCTGTTTTTTTATTGGCCGTGCTGGAGAGCAAACCCAGGGACTTCTGCATGCCAAGCAAGGGCCAGGCCTGCCGCTGAGCCATACCCACAGCCCTCTCCCAGTATATATTTTTATATTGATTACATGTTGAAATATTTTTTGGTGGATTACTTTAAATAAAGTATATATTTAAACTTAGTTTCTTTTTAAAATTTTCTTAATATGATTACTTAAAAATTTAGTGACATGTGGCTTATATTTGTTGCTCTCGTTGTATTTCTGCTGGACAGCACTGTCCTTTAAATTTAGTTGCTGTCTTGACTGCCTTGTGAGAAAGAATTAAGCACCAGTGCCCAAGGCCTGCGTGACCCCTACTGAGTGACCTCTGCATTGAGAATGGTACTAACAGCATACTCTTCTGAGGGAAATTGAGAAAACCTCCCCTGTGCCTTGTGTCCAGATGAAGATGAAGAACGAGTTGGGACAATGTAGAGGTTTGAAGTGTTCCTGGTAGTGTACCGTGTTCAGATGGGGAATGAGTGAGGGGCAGCTTTTCCCCTCTGCTGGGGTCAAACCCAGGGTTTGCTCACAACAGGGAAATGCCCTCCAACCACACTACAGCTCTAGACCCTGAAGCTGATGTTCTGTTGAAAGTTGGAGAAGAGCAGTTATGCAGGGAGAAAAAAAAGAAATGGAAAATGTGAACTAGTAGAAATCAGACTGGTCTTCATCTTAGCTTAGCTGCAGCTTGCAGCCTTTGTGTACTGAGGTATCTGTTCCCTGGTGACAGGCTCTTCCATGGAGCCATCCATAGCTTCACTCCTGCTTTCATTTATTGCTTCTGTAAGTGTGTGCTTGCATACCAGGTAGAGCACAGTTAGAGAGAAAGGGTGTTTCCCAAGTTTCCCGTTAACTCTGCTGAGGCTCTGTAAGGACCGTTGTCTGTGCAGCTCCCTGCTCAGCACCTGTGTGCAGACAATGGGCTTGAGCTTCTTAATGAGCTTGCCATATGAGGTATTGGGGAGCCTTGAAGCAGTAGGCTCTGTGTAGGCCCTTTGTTCATATGTGGTCTCAAAAGGAAAAGAGGCTTATTTGCTGCTGCATACACAGTTCAGGCTCCTTAAGAAAGCTAGGAACATGGGTTCATTGGCCTGGTAGAGCCCTGAGTTCCCTGCACAGATCTGATTGGGAGTAGAATCTGAGCTATATAGAGCAGATTGTTTGCGTTAATGCTTAGCTTGGAATGTGTATTCCACCACATGGAATAGAATAATGTTGGTATGTTGGGAAGATTGAATATAGCAAGAGACAAGAATGGCTTTGTCCCCTCCGAGCTCTGCTCTGCCTCTCCTTCTGCCTCTGACATGGCCACCCAAAAGCTGCTATCTTATGTGGTTTCTTTCCTCTTTTTCCTTCCATTTCTTTCCTATCCTCTTTTTCATGTTCCCATCCCTCTTCTCTCTTCTTTTGTCTCTCCTTAGATCCCTTAGTTCTGCCTTCCTTCCAGGCTCCCTAATCTTGTCTCTTTTTGGATTTCCATCTTTCAGATTTGGGGAGAACTTATTCTTTAGGCTTAAAAATAGACAATGAAGCACTCTCCAGGGTCTTAGTGCCTGCTGAGTTAGCATGCCTCGGGCACAGTTGGAAGTAGACCCCTGACATTTGGTTGGCTTTCATTTAGAGTTTCAAAACAATAAACAAAAACCAAGACACCTAAAACCAGGTAGACACTGAAAATAGTTATCAAGCCCTAATCTGTGACACACATTTTAAGAATGAGCCTGCATGGTGCATGTTCTAAGTACTGGTTAGGTCGGGGTTTGTTTAGTTTTAGTTCTGTTCTTTTTCTGGACTCGTCAGCAAATTTTAAAAAGACTTGATGCTTCAAAGAGAATAAGCGGTAATTAATAAAAAATAAATTAATTTTTAAAAGATTTGATGCTCAAAATGCCTGAAGGAGTTAGACACAGTGGTACAAACCTGTAATCCTAGAACTTGAGAGGTGTGGGGCGGGGGTGGCTACATAGAGTTCAAGGCCATCTAGACTGTGTGAGACCCTGTTCCTTTCTAAGACTGCAGGAGTCTTACTTGGTAGTGACTGCCCGTAACCCCAGGACTCAGTGTATAGAGGCAAGAAGATCATCAGCTTAAGGTCATTCCCTGCTGTGTCTGTAGCTTGAGACCAGCTTAGGCTCACTATACTGTCTAATTTTTTTCTCTCCCCTAAACCAAAAAAACGACTACAGGAGCATGTTCAGCAGTGCATGCTGCAATCTTGTCTACTCCAGAGACTGAGGCAGCATTACAAATCCCCCACTACCTGGGTAACTTAGCAAGACACTGGCCCTTCTCTGTCCCCTGCCAGCAGACTTTCATGCTGTCTATGCACCTTCATGTTTTAAGAGGTCGTGTTGTGGAGTGTAATCTTTTAAAGAGAAGGTGCAGCAGCACCATGTCCTAGGCATGACCACAAAAAGATACAGGAAGCCAGTCTGCAGAGCACCACCATCTTCCCAGGGAAGCAGTTTCTCACCTATTTCATTGTCTTGTCTTTTACCCTAAGTATAAATGTTCATTTTACAGAGTTTAATAATGTAGTTTTGTTTTGTTGGGGTTTTTTTTTTTTGTTGTTTTTTTGTTTTTTGTCTATTGTTTTTATGTTTTGCGTTAGTCTTAATGTGTCTGATATCTATAAGGATGTCTTCTTTCTCTGTATATAAAGATAGAGAATTAGGCACTGAGAAGTGATGTATTTTGTGTGCTTTGTGTATATTACAGCTGTGGATTCAAACTCTCAAACTTTGCAACCAATAACATTGGAATTGAGAAGACGGAAAATATCAAAAGGAAGTGACATCCCATTAAAGCGTCCCCGGCTTGACAAAACTTCATGTGAGTTCTCCAATTTATGTATATGTGGCTAGAATTTGGTAAATTATTTGGGTCAGTCTTTGCATCTGCCTGTCACCTGTTTCTTACAAGCACTAATGACTGTCACTGAGTACATGAACTAATTTGAGTGGAATGTGGCTGAGTCAGTAGTTTCTGCTAGAAACAATGAGGACTGTATTTGTGATGGGCTCAGTGATAGTATATCTGCTTCCATAAAGTATACTTGATTTGGATTCCAGAAATACGTAGCCTAGTAAGGGTGGATTGATTGCCTCTAGGGAGAAAAACTATAGTCAGGCATGATGGCACACAGCCTTTGCTCCAGCACTAGGGAGGCAGAGGGAGGCTGATCTCTGAGTTTGAGGACAGCTAGGGCTAGATAGAGAGACCATGTCTGAAAAAGCAAAGAGAACATTAGAAATAGATTTTTTTTTAAATAAGATTCTCATAAGCCATGGCTGACTTTGGGAGTCAGCATATAGTCTTTTATGTTGGAAGCTCCTAAGTAGACTATGGTCAAGATTGACACATCTCAGTGTCTGCTTTCTTGACATTTGGTTGTAAGCTGTCTCTAGCCGAGACTATGAATCCATAACAAGGTTAGATTCTGTTCTAGCAGAGGTTTTGTTTTACTGCAAGCTAGGAAAGGAGCTCAGTCTGCCATTCCAGAAGTCTCTGGAGGAAAGCCCTGGAAGTGACCAGCTCAGAAGTCTGCATTAGTGGAAGTCTTTCTTTTGTTGGTCTCTGAGTATAGCTCTATTAATGGTTTACAGCCCAAGAACAGTCAAAAAACCGCTCTGCAAACATTGACAAAGACTTCTCCAGGAGACGGTCCTCCAGGCTGTCCACTAACGGGACCCATGAGATCCTAAATCCTGATTCAATTGTACCTGATCTGGTTCACACAGTTGATACGAATCTTCTACAAGACAAGTCACCCAGTGCCAAGGAACCTTCTGAAGGTAAGTCAGTGTCTATTTTGGAATTATTTGATCAGCCTAGTGCCTGTCTGCTAAGAACCAATTTAGATTCTTCGTGTTGGCTTCTGTGTTAGATTGTATGGAGCACACACACACACATATACATATATAAAATGTTACTATATATATTATAAATAGAGTGTACAGGGCTGGAGAGATGACTTAGTGGCACATGTTTTTAGAAGACCAGTTTCAGTTCCTAGCACCCAGGTTAGGCGGCCTCTAGCCGACTGTAACTCCTGTTCTAGGGAGCTGACTCAGCCTCTGCAGATGCATGCATGTGGTGCACAGGTGTCGTGCAGGTAAAACACTCATACACACCTGGGCATGGTTGTGTACACGTTTAACTTCAGCACTGTGGAGGCAGGAGGCAATCATATCTTTAAGAGTTCCAGGCCAGCCAAGGCTACAAACAAACAAACAAACAAAGCCACCAATAATAATACACACTAAATACAACTGAATGTAATAATAGTAACTCTTCAGGTATATGTGTGCATGCATGCAGGGGCTCGCAGGGTCCAGAAGAGGTGGCCAGATTCCCTGGAGCAGAAGTTACAGGTGGTGTGGGCTGCCCAGTGTGAGTGCTGGGAACTGAACTCGGTCCCTGTGCAACAGCAGTAGAGTTCTTAACTACGAAACCATTTCTCCGGTGCTCCTAGGTTGTTCTGAAATCCAGCTATGCACGGTGCCGTCGTGCTTGATGGCATGTTGTTCTTCCCAGAGGGTCTGGATCATTTGTGGTGGTTTCTTTCTTTCTTTAAAAAACCTTACATTTTATTTATTTTTTGCATGTATGTATACACATGTGCCATGCCACTTATGGCCAGAAGATAGCTTGTGGACTCTCTTCTCTGCTGAGTGGCACTAGGGACTGCAGGCTGTCTAGAAGCATCTTGCCAGCCTTTTTTTTTTTTTTTTTGAGATAGGCTCTCACTAAATAGCTCTAACTGTCCTGGAGCTCACTATGTAGTCAGGTGAGTTTTGACCTCAAAGAGATTCACCTGCCTCTGCCTTTCAAGTGCTGGGATTAAAGACGTGTGTTAGCAATCTTGGTCTTTTTCTTTTGGTTTCTATACTGCCTCCCTGCCTCCCTCCTTCCCTCCCTTCATGATTTTTGTTCATTTGTTCTTTTAATGTGTCTATATGTGTCTGTTCCAGTGCCTACAGAAGGGCATTGGAAGCCCTAGATTCGGAGTTACAGGTAGTTTTGAGCTGCCTAACATGGGAGCTGGGAAGTGCATGGTCTGACTGCTGAGCCATCCCTCCATCCCACTGACGTGTTTTCTTCCGTGTTGTCCTCTAAGGTGTCTCTGGCTTTTTAGTCTGTTCTGGAACTCTTGATTTCCTGATTGTATACATATGTGTTTCCCAAGCATTCTTTATTTCTTTCTGTAGGTCAGTTGACATCTCCGTTGGAAACTGGCCAGGTCTCATCTGCATTAACTTGCCACCCCTTTGGGGATGGACTGGGGGCTGCAGGCTTGGAGTTGAACTGCAAGTCAATGGGAGAGAACACTGTAAAAACAGAAGCTGCGTCTCCTCTTCCTGAGGCGCAGGAGGTTCCAACTGTTGAAGGTGCGTGTTTAGAACTAAATCATGCTTTATGCTTGTGCTTTTATTTTGACTGTGTGGCTTTTAAGAGATGCTTTTCTAGGTGGGTGAAGTGGCAGAGGCAGATAGATCTCTGAGTTCAAGGCCAGCCTGGTCTACAAAGAGTCCAGGACAGCCAGGTACACAGAGAAACCCTGTCTTGGAAAAGGGGGGGGGGGGATTGCTTTTCCAAAAATGTTTCTCTGTCTTTTATTAATAATATTTAAAGGCCTCCATACCATAGTCTTTCCATTGGAGAGGTAGAAATAGAAGCGTCATCACAAGTTCAAAGCCAGCCTTATTTCTGAGGAGGTTTCTAGGCTAGCCAGAGTATCACATTGAGACTCTTATCAGAAGAAAAAGAAATAAACAAAATGGAAAATCCTGATTTTTGCGTGTGTGTGTGTGTGTGTGTGTGTTATGTATGTTTCAGACAGGGTTTCTCTATGTAGTCTTGGCTGTCCTGGAACTTACTATGTAGAGCAGGCTAGCCCTGAACTCAGAGATCTGCCTGCCTCTGCTTTTCTAGTGCTGAAATTAGAGGCGTGCACCACCACTCTGGCCCCAATTTTTTTATTTAATGTTATACTTAGTTCATTTCTGATTTTGTTACTATATTTCCTTTTGGTAAATTTGTCTAAGAACTTAGAAATTTTATTGATCAGTTCAAAGAAGTAACCTGTTTAGTGTCTCCACTGTTTTGTCTCTAAAAGATTTCTCCTAACTTTCTAGAATTCCCCTTCTGCCCTCAGAGAGGGTTTCTTTGTGTAGATTTGCCTGTCCTAGATTTGTCTTTGAGGCCTGGTGTGCACCACCACACCCCACTGACTTTCTATAATTTTACAGTTTTAACTCTCATTTTTTTCCCTGTGTGTGTGTTGTCCTTCTATTCATTTAATCAGTAGATATTACATGCACATTCCAGACCTTATTCTAAACTGTTTTGTTCGTGAATGCTCTGCATGTAACACAATGCAGACTCTGTGGGTCCTAGATCAGTAGCACTAACCTACATAGTCTTGATGGCTGGTTGTCTGTTATAAAATGAACAGAAAGATACTTGTCACCGGCATGTTAGAGCTAACAAGTGTTGCACCGTTAACTAGTGTAGCATAACAGCTACAGGAGTTCTAGCTTTCAGAAACAGTTTTTTTTTTTATGCTATTGCTTGTTTGAGACAGGGCCTACCTTGCGCTTTCTTAAGCTCACGGCAGTTTTTCCATCTCAGTCTGTGTGTGCTGGGATTGCAAGTATAAACCTCCATATATGGTTCTGTTTTCTTGAGCAGAGAGTCTTAGATGTATAATCATTTTACTTTGCAATGTTGTGTCTATAGCCCGCAGGATCACCAACCACATTTATCTGTTGTTCTGTCCAACAGAATGGATTATCAAAATGTAGACTCTGGAACTCCATGTGTGCCTGCTGTGGAGGAACTGAACACAGAACTCACTCTCTGAGCCCTTCCTGTGTGCTAAAGAGTTCTGGCTGTTCAGTTACAGTCATGTGTGACCTACTCAATCTTAGTGTTCTTAATTGCCTCTGGGAAAGAGCTGGTGTTTAGGCAGGATGGAAGAAGGGTCTTGGAAGGTGGATAGCAAGTGGGCATTTAGAGGTGGAGGCAAAACTGTGTAGCCCACGAGACCATCAGTTATGTGCTTTCTGACATGGTTGCAGGCTTTCTAAAGTAGGTTAAGGATGAACAAGGAAGTTGCTGTCAGTCTTCGGCCATTTGCTTTGAGAACTTTGTGGAGGAAAATCTTGACTTTCAAGAAGCAGCTTAGGTAAAATTAGCCCCTCCTAGGGCTTGCCAGTTTGATCCCCTGCCCTTTTGTGCTGTCTTTGTCCCACCTGTTAACTGCTAGCTGCTAAGGGCGCAAGGGAAAGAGAGCAGAGTTGCTGCATTGAGGAACTGGGTACGGTGAGTGCAGGCCTACTTGCTTTCCAGGTACTTGTCAGTGTGTCCATCTGAAAGGGCAGCATGCAAAAGGTGATCAGGACTTGTGGGGCGGGGCTTTGGAATTCTGTAGCTAAAGGGGAGAAGTGTGTTGTCCCAGAAGCAGAGGATTGTCCCTGGGGTTTGTTTGGAACAGGGCTTTGTGGGAAATACAGATGATACAGAAAGATTACTGGGAAGAAGACTGCTGAAGACTCATGAGCCAGGAATGCAGTCATTATATAAGCGAGCAGGAAATGGGCTGGGTTGTCAGCAAAACAGCTGCAGGGAACAGGGGCAGCCCAGTCATGGGTAGTGAGTGTTCTCCAGGCCACTGCTTTGGTGTTCCTAAACGCAGATGGAGTCACATGAGAGAAATCAGAGTGATAACCTCCTAGGCAGCAGTTGGAGTTGGCTTAGACAACATCAAGAGGAGAGGCCGAAGCCCAGCCCAGGTGCTCGGGCAGCACTGCCATCTTGTGGAGTAAATGTTCTGTGCTTCCTCTTGGTTTGCGGAAATTTATATTCTCGGGGAGACCAGACCCACGGAGGTCAGGGGACAACATCGTGGATCACTTCTCTCCTCCTTCCTTTTCTCTGATTTGGGAATCAAAATCACATTGTCAGGCATATACAGCAAGCACCTTTACTGACTGAGCCTTCTTGTTTGACCTTGTGCTATCTTTTTTCTAGCGCTGAGCACTGAGCCACAGATTACTCGTGAGTGTACACGCTGCTACTGAGCTACACACCTTGTTGTGCCTCTTTGCTTCTCCAGTGCTAGACTAAACCCAGGGCTTTGTACAGGCAAGCAGGCTTACACTGATGAGTTAACACCCTCAGCCCTGCATGTATTTTTAAGTAAGCCTCATTTGTAATTTTCTCAGGCCTGTGAAAATGTTGTAAGTACTGCCAGGCGCTGTGGCACACGCCTGTATCCCAGAGACAGAGGCTCAAACTTTTTGAGTTTTAGGCCAGTCTGGTCCACAAAGCGAGTCCAGGACAGCCAGGACTACACAGAGAAACCCTGTCTCAAAAAAAAAAAAAAAAAAAAGAAAGAAAGAAAGAAAGAAAGAAAGAAAATGTAACTGTAGTACAAAGAAGAGGAACATGGCGACTCACATCGTAATGCCTACACTTTGGGAGGCTAAGGCTGGAGTCTGTGGCTACCCTGGTTACCCAGTGAGTTAAGGTCAGTCTAGGCTGCACAGTTGGTTCAAGGCTGGTATGGGGCGATGAGTGAAACCCTCTCTCAGCATCAACCAAAGTTAGTTGATGGAATTTCCATAACTGTTCTCTTCTGTGGGAATGTGCTGAAGCAGCACCCTGTAGGACAAGAGGAAGTGGGGCTTTAGAGCTAAACATGGTTTGCCCTCCCCTGGCCTGCCCATGCTTTCTAGTTGGGGGGGGCGTGTATGTGCTCACGGGCTCGAGTGCCCCCATGCATGTTTTAAGCCTTCCTGTATTAGCCCCCAACCAGCCACAAACTCACCTGGTACTGGGATTACAAACAGGTGTTGCCATACCCAAGTCACTGTAGTCTCTGCTCTTGTTTCTAAAGTTGACAGGGAAAATTCCAATGTCCCTTTATGAATTTTAATTATTTTTGAGGCAGACTCTCTTATCCTAGAGTGGCCTGGGACTTGCTGTGCAGGTGAAGACATCTCTGACTCCTGACCCTCCTGTCTCCTTTGTCGGCCACCAGGCTCAGGGTTCTTAGTGCCAAGTTAGCCTGAAGGCTTTGTGTAAAAAGCTAGCCATTTCTTTATTTTTGTTAGACAGGGTCTTACTCTGCAGTCCCAGTTGCCCTCAAGCTTACAGCAAGCCTCCTGCCTCAGTCTCTTTAAGTGCTGGGATTATAGGCTTGGGCCATTAAATCTGGCTCTTTAATTGTCTTATTTTTCGTTGTTGTTTTCAGTTGCAACATGAAACATACATGGGGTCATTCAACATGTAGTGACAGCTTGCCATTTTCATCTTGCGCTGTAGCTAGGGGTTAAACAGGTTAGTAAATGCAGCCCTGCTTCATTCTTTGCCCTTTTTCCTTATTTTTGTACGGGGTCTTGTGTGGCCCAGCTTGGCCTCCAGGTCCCTGTGCACATGAGGGTGGGCTCCTGATCCCACTAGCTCTAACTCCAAGGTGCTAGCATTACAGTCCTATGCCACTGTGTGTAGGCTCACTTCCTGTCCCCATTCTCATCCCCGTCTGTACTGCTGGGGAGGGAACTACAGCCTCACACATGCTAGGCAAGTTTTCTCCTATCCTATTCTATTTAATGGTTGCTTAGAATTACGTGATACAGGCCTGGGATCTAGGCCCCATGTAGAGTGCTTGCTTAGCTTGGAGGGAGCCTGGGTTCAAACCTCAGAGCCACATAAACCAGGTATGGCACTCAGGCACTCAGGAGGATCAAAAAGAAGTGCATGGCCAGTCTGGCCTTTAGGAGACTGTGTCTCATAAAGAAAAAGTTACGTGATGGTGGTGCACTCCTTAATCCCCAGTGCTTGAGAGACAGAGGCAGGCAGATCTCAGAGTTGGAGGCCAGCCTGATTCACAGAGCGAGTTCCAGGGCTACACAGAAACCCTGTCTCAAAACCAGAAATAAATAAATAAATTAAATTTTAAAAAGGTACATAGTACAGATTTGCTATAATTTAACTGATAAATTTATGCACATTTAAATTTATCGTTTTAATATTTGGCTAGTATTAGGAATTGAAATCTCTTTGGACCCTCTTGGATTGTTTTTTATTGCTTCAGCATGGAGCAAGTTATTCTTTCACAAATCTGTTAAAAATACTTTATTATGGTATTACCTCACAGAACATGTCAAAAGGTGCAAATGCACAGGGCTGCATGCTTTCTTGGCTGATAGAGATCCCAGCTGTGTTAGGTCTTGGCGCTGAGTCAACACCTGACAGTGAGAAGTGGCTTCTTTCATCTGCTGGAGAACTGGTAGGTAACAGGATCCAGCAGCAGATGCTAGGCGCCAGAGACAAGGTACAGCATGTAGTCATTGTGCCAGCAGTAGATGGCACTGTGATCCCT